CCCAACTATTGCCAGATACACGAATATGGGTGTACATAATTTCTATAACGGAGCCTTTTCAGCAATTCAGTATCTGGGAGAGGCATCACGGTGAGGATTCGGTGGCATTGCGAACCTTGTTGGGATTTGCAAGTGCCTCTAAATTTAAGATTGGTGCATCACTCCACACCATACTAGGGGCACATCTAGGACTCGATGGAGAACTGGCTTCAGCATTCGTGCAACCGGTCGGAAGAATCGACTCTCGTTCCTGAGAGTGAGCCGCAAGCCGTACTTCTTTCAGCCGCAGCTTCTTTGCTTGACGTTGAGCCCGAGACGCGTTCTTAAGGGCAACCCGCCAGCTCACTTTCACAGCAAATGGTCCATGTATGCCGCTTCGTACCCAATATGAGTGAAAACCTTCAGCATTTAGGGATCGCACAAGTGCTCTCGTGATATGACGCAGGTCAAAGGGTTCTGCAAGGGCGCGGATTCCTGCTAGGGCCGCCGGGTCAAGAATCGTTTCAAGCAATCCAAACTCTCGATAACATCTTACTATTGCGGTCTTGGCACTCTCAAAAACAGCTCGATCCATCTGCTCAATCGCAAAAGTGGTTGGAGGACGATAGCCCAAAATTGCGTCCATTCAAGTCAATGGTTTTACGGTGCACCAAGAAAGAAGGAATACACCATTTCCAAGATGTGGTCGTAGGTCAGGCCGGCCATCCCGGCCACTTAAAAGCATATGGCAAACAAGTTTGGCGATGCGACGATACACAGATGGGCAGATGGTTTTAACCCCCCTTTATAGTAATAAAAGTGCCACTCCAAATTTTGAAATACTTTTGAAAGTTGCTCTCCATCCGTGTATATGCGCAAGAACACCATCAATTACACACCCCGCTCTTGCTTTCTTGACGGTATGGATTTGAGATAACATTGATATAATCCGATATTGCAGAAAGATGCGATTGTGTCCGAATCAACCTTACACTTAACCATACCATCTAATATGTTGCATCCGTTGTAATTGATGGAGCGAGTCGACAAGAGGACAGGACGGACAGGAGATGTTCGTGTCCAGGGCCGGCTTGCAATTGACCATGCCACCTGATATGTTGCAAATACTGTAATTGATGGAGCGAGTCGACATGAGGTCGGGACGGACAGGAGATGCTCGTGTCTAAGTTTGGGTCCCACTTGACTATACCACCTGATAATGATGAGTCGAATATTGTAATTCATGGAGCGAGTCGACAGGAGGACGGGACGGACATGAGATCGGATGCTCGTGTCCAAGTCCGGGTTCCACTTGACCATACCAACTAATATGGGTCGAATATTGTAATTCATGGAGCAAGTCGACAGGAGGACGGGACGGTTAGAAGATGCTCGTGTCCAAGTCCGAGTCCCACTTGACCATACCACCTAATATGAGTCGAATATTGTAATTCATGGAGCGAGTCGACAGGAGGATATGACGGACAGGAGATGCCATGCCCATGTCCAGGTCCGGCTTGCACTTGACTGGACCACCGAGATTGTTTGAACATTATGATTCATGAAATGAATAGAAAGGAGGCCGTATGCTACAACCAAGCCGGCCGATCTGTGAGAGTGGCGGCCCGACCTTAGATACATACATATCAGCAACCTCAGCCGAGATCCGAAAAGTTCATACTACAATCTGTTATAATTTCTTTCTTCTCCAGGGAAGGAATTATAACAGATTAGTAGTACAACCTTTTCCCTTTGGTTCCAAATTGGCAATATGTATGTATGTAAGGCCATACCGTAAAAGATGCCAATGTTGTAATCGACTTTTTGGAGAAGAAAATATAACAAATTAGTAGTATGAAGATTTCCTTGCGGGATCCAATTGCCGATATGTATGTATGTAAGCCCATACCGGAAAAGATGCAATGTTGTAATTGACTTTTTGGAGAAGAGAATATAACAGATTAGTAGTACGAAGATTTCCTTGTGGGATCCAATTGCCAATATGTATGTATGTAAGGCCATACCACAAAGATTCAATGTCCACACAAGACAGTATCCCTAAGTACTCAAGTCTCACATAGTGCTGTCGATCCCAATCGATTCAAGTTCCAGGCAACGAGCACTCCTTGTTTCCTCTACTCCTCCTTACTCCATCTTAATCTCTGGGGCTTTCAGCGAAAGACCCTTATACCCTCGCTCCGTTACGCCGCAATACTTTACGCCAAGGCCAAGTTTGCTGGGCTTGTCCGGTCCCGAGAAGCCGTGGTTGTTCATCGCCGACTTCAAGGACTTGGTGTCGAGCGAGGGGATATGGCCGACGCACTTGCCACCCACCATCCTCTGCGGGTCGTTGTACGCCTTGAGGGCATCGCTCGTTGAGATGAAGAGGTCATCGCCCTTGATACAGCTGTTGAGGACGAAGTTGTCGAAGTCGTCAGCCGCCTTTTCGTAGTCCTGCAGAGCGTCCATGCTCCGCCTCGGCATGGGGTACAGCTGCTGCCCGTTCTGGTACCACTTGACCGCTCCTGCGACCAGCCACGCAAGCAACTCCTGCATGTTCTGCAGGGTGCTCAGCTTGGTAAGGAGGCGCGTGTCCACCAACCCGTGCAACGGGTTGGTGGGGTCGTATCCCTTCTCGTGCGGCGAGAAGTAGCGCCGCACGAAGCAGACCAGCTGAAGGCGGCGCCGGAGGGCAACGGACCAGGTCTTGTCCGTCTTCGGAAGGTAGTTGGTGCACATAATGAGCTGCAAAAACCATCAGGAGAGGGTCGTTAGTGCTCGATATCTCACATTCTTTGACGCACCCCACAGGTCTCAGCATGCTCGAAAGTATTTGACCAGCGTGCTTGACCAAGCAACCGCAGGCTATGGTCGATGCGCAAGCTTCTCGGAATGAATGGAGCAACATTTCAGGAGAAAAGGCACACGCGCTTGTAAGCATATGCTTCAAGACAGAGGAAGAGTCTCACCAGGACGGTCGCGGTGAAGGTGATGAAGTCCTTGAAGAGGGGCCGCGCCGTAATGACATCGCTGCCCGTCAGCTTCTTCATGCCGGCTTCGTTGAGCGTGTCGGACTTATCCGTCTCTTCGACCACAGCGAGCAGCGCCCCAGCAAGCCCTGCAGAAGCAAAAGGGAGATTTTTGAGCCCCAGACAGGGGAAACAGGACGGACAGAAGAACATCATGTCGTTTTGAACTGAGTCTCGGACCATGATACTAATCAGGGAAAGGGTTCGGCTTGTTGAGAGATGTTGGGATGACCCGACAGGATAGACAGCATGGACAGAGGAATCTCATGTCGAGGCTTGGGCGTTCGCAACTCAAATGCAACCACGAACGTGCACCGACATGCGACTTCCTTACCAGCCTCAAGCGGCGAAGCGGCTCCCTTGTGGGCAGCCCTCTGCCCCTTGGCGTTCACCAAGATCTCCTTGCGCACGTCCCGGTAGGAAGGCCCGAGCAGCTTGCGCAGCAGATCGAGGAGGAGGCTCTTCCCAGCGCTGCCCTCGCCAACAAGATTGCCAGCACCTGTTCAAGGGAGTAGGGCCCTAATCGCATCAGCTGACGTTAGCCGCTATTGCGAAATCGTGTCAGGTTGGGCGGCAAAAGGCTTTGACGCTCGGCTCATATGCTTTGAGGTACACTTGCGCTTCAAGGCAGACAACTTTTACCAACACGCCCTCACCTGATTGCTCGTGTGACCGGTCAGCCCGTAACCAAGCAGCACCTGGAGGTGCTCCAGAGCGGCCCCCCCATCCTCGCCAGTGACGTGCATGATGTCCTCCAAGAAGCGCACCACTGCGCCCCTCGGGTACGCGAGTCCAGCGCGAGGGTAGGGCCAGTCGATCACCTTGCTGTTCATGAACTGCAGATCACCAGGAAGCTTATAAGATTGGAACAGATTGCCCTCAAAGTCCAAACACGACGGACAGCATGGACAGCAATCACCCCTGTCGTGCTTTTCAGGCTGCAAGACATCGATCATATGCATCTATCGCAATCGTGACCATCTGCATCTATCAAAAGGGGCATGCGTTTGAAGCTCAGACACGACAGAGAGAACGAACAGCAGTTTCACCTGTCGAACTTTTGAGATTGGCCGCCAAAGGGCTCGCAAAGACAAAGGCACTGCCAGCGCACTCACCCGGGGATGATGCGCGAGCAGCTCGCCCGTCCGCAGATCGACAACGGCGTTCGCCGCGGCCCTGAAGTCCTTCTGCACGTCGAGCAGCGACTGGAAGTCCTTTTGATAGAAGTAGTCCTTGCACGTGCTCAAGATGTTGGACATCTTTGAGTTGAAGTTGACGTTGATGAGCTTCTCCTTCTTGCCTTTCTTCGCTCCTTTCCCATCCCCCGACGCTCCGGCCCCCTTCCGTGCCTCGCCGTTCTCATCATCGCTCTCTGGACCGTCAGCCAAGACAGGCGACCGACCGCCTCCCACCCCAAGCCCCGCCTCTCGCATGTATGCGGCCTCAATCTTGGAGAGCTCCTCGCGGAGCACCCGCAGAATCCGGCCGCCGCTCTCATCCTTGGCCCAGCAGCGACCCGTCCAGTAGTACGAGCCTGAGGAGCAGAAGGCGAACTTCAGGCCCGTCCGCACGTAGAGGCGCTCCAGGATGATGGCGCCACCAACATCTCCTGCAGGTGGGTTGGGATCGAATAAGCCAGGTTGACAATCGGACCCAACCGCGCAACCTGCAACCTTGGATCTTTCAAGTACGAGATATCACAAAGCAGCAGATGGAGGGTTCAGTTGTAGCAGCTACTATTGCTATCAAAGTTCAGACGAGATACAGAATTCTCATAGAAATACAAACAAGAAGTGCTTCCTAGGAGTTACCGCGTTATTAAAGGGCAAAACGACATTTGCAGAACAAGAAGTGCTTACTAGAAACTTTTGAAGTACTAGGCTTAGCCTAGGACATATACTTTCTGGGCAGGGCTGTCTAACAAAGCGTGTCTCCTTCAAGGCTGTGATTAGTCTAGTCTCCTTCGCACTTTTAAAGTACTAGGCTTAGCCTAGGACATAAGCTTTCTGCGGAGTCCAGGCAATAGGACCTGTACTTTTTGAGCATGACTGTCTCAGCGAGCTTGCTCGAACGAATAGGCTTCCTACAAATTATCACCAATAGACGCTTCATTAAGATTATCACCTGATTAAAGGCTTCTTAGGTACTAGGCTTAGCCTAGGACATGAAGTTATCACGTTATGAAAGGGCAAAACGACATTTGCAGAACAAGTAGTGCTTCCTTGAAGTTATCACGTTATCAAAGGGCAAAACGACATTTGCAGAACGAAAAAGCTCCAGTGTAGATTGGCAAACAATCAACTCACCTTTCTTGACGTTCAGGTTCTCTTGAAGGAAGGCCAGCGGCAGCAGCTGCCGGTCGGAGTACAGGTGGTCCCTCTCGCTGTTCAGAGGCTGGCTGTCGCCAAAGGCCGCGGCGATCGGCAGGGGGAGAACGCCCAGGCGGAAGTTGCCCGGCCGCGGGGTGGCCTTGCAGCTCTCCCCGTGGCAGATGTAAGTCACCTCGGACCCCCGCCGCAGGAGCCCGAAGTTGGTGCTGTCGTGCACCCTCGCACGAGATGCCGGAAAGTAGGGGCACGTCACGCGCCCGCCAGGCGCGTTCTGGAACTCGTAGATGACTCCAGGGCCCGTGGCGGACGGCTTGGCGGCGCAGAAGATCGAGGTGTTGTCGCCCCAGGTCGACAGCAGCTTCTCGAGCTCGCGCACCACCTCCGACCGAAGCTCGGGGTCCGCCAGGTCCGGTTCCTCGAAAGGAGGCGCCGGCTCGGAGCTCCCCCCGGCCCCCGGATTGCAGGACGAGTCCACGCTCGACTCCGCATCGCTAGCTCCGGCGTTCTTGTCCATGCACGCATTTGCACCAGGCGAATCGCCCCCTTCTTTTGCCATCTGCAGGGGGAGAGCAGTGGGTCATGAACAATGATAGAAGGATCACGTCGCTTTGCGGTCCTTGCTGTCTCTCATGTCTGCCCGCCAGAGCACAGACGGCCAAGTGTACGCAAGTACATTTAATGAACGGCAATGTCCAGGAAGAACTCGTGTCTCTGCTGTCCCTCCTGTCGATCAACTTAGCACAGACGGCGACATGCTTGAGAACATGGGCAACAATAGAAGAGACACGTGTCTCCGCTGTCTAAACTGTCTATTGCTCCTGAACAGTCCCGAGCGCAAGGGGTGCATAAGAGTTGGGTCGTTTGACCGATGTTTCGTCAGGACTTACCCCGCTCGTTTGTGCACCATCGGCAGTGCCACCCTCCACATCATGCACGCAACCTTCCATGTGCGCGCTTGCACCAGGCGAGCCACCCCCTTCCTTTGCCGAACCGCCTTTACCCTGCACATGAAGAGAGGAGGGTCTTAACGTTGACAGCAGAGACGCGTGTCCTTGCCGTCTGTCCTGTCTGCCAAAGAACAGAACGGCGAAGTGCATGTGAGAGCATGGGAGCTGACAGGAAGAACACGTGACTTTGCTTGATCAAAGCACAGAAGGCAACATGCTTGAGAACATTGGGGAAAACAGGAGACAGACGTGTCTCTGCTGTCCGTCTTGTCTGCTGCCATTGAGAAGGAGGCAGAAGATTCGGTGCATCGAAGGTTTGAGTCCTTACTCCAATCCTCAATGGGGCGAGACTCGACTGCACACTGTTGGCAGCGTTGCCCTCCGTCTCGTCCATAGGGTCGGCGGCGCGCGCACTTGCATCGTGCGAGCAAACACCTTCCTCTGCACTAGTGCCGCCCATCTGCACAGCAAGATTCACGGATTGCAAAAGAAACACGTGTCTTTGCTGTCTGTGCTGTCTGCAAAGCATGAGAAGCAAGAACGTCTTGCTACAAGAAAGACTCGCGCTCCACCTAAGAATCTGCACTATCCCAAGCATAAGAAGTACGGACCGCAGCTGTGCATCAGAGCGCGTGGGGCGACAGAGGAGAGGCATCATGTCTTTGCTGTTCGTCCTGCCTGTCAAAGCGTGCAAGGGGCAACATGCATAATGCGAGGACTGCGACAGGAGAGACACGTCTCTTGCTGTTTGTCTTGTCCATCCTGTCAAACCTGTCGTCAAACCTGTCCTCTGTTGAACAAGAGCGCACGTCATGGCAAAGGAAGGGGCATGCAAGATTCTGTTTTCACCTCAGAATTTGTGGGCCTTGCGCTCGTATGGCCCCCATTGGCCGCGCCGCTCTCCACCTCGTTCATGGGGTCGGCCATGCGCGCGTTCGCATCGGGCTGGGCACCAGGCGAGCGAAGGGATCCCTCTTCAAAGCTGTCTTCCGCCTGCAAAAGGAGAGTCTGGATAGCTGTGTAACGAGCGCTGCAATCATAGGGCTCCTGATGCTGTCCGTCATGAGCGCAACCCGCGATAGATGGAACGCCTGTCTTTGCAGGCCATCTTGTCTGTTATCAGAGGAAGCGGCTGCAGAAAGTGTCATGAGCAAAAAATGCCTTTCAATTGGTCTTAACTTCCAGGCAAGGGTGGCTGCTGACAACAAACAAGGCACGAATCGGTGGCATCTGCCCTGACTGCCAATCAGACATGGGGGCCTCAATCCCATCCAGTCTTACCGCATCAGGGGCGCTGTCAAGCTCAATCTTCCTTCCATCCTCGTCATCCTGTGACGTCGCTTCCAAGAGCCCGGGCTGTGATTCAAGCACTTCTCCAGCTTGAATTTCATCAACCTGGAGACGAGCTGGTGCATGCATCAGATGCTTGCTGCTGAGCATCTAAGGGGTCAGCCTTCAAAACCTCAACAATCAGGGTAGACGTCTTGCGAGTCAGAACACGTGCAAAACAAGGTGACCGTTCTGGGTCACCCCAAGTGCGCAAAAAGTGAGCTATAGTACCTAACACTTGGCGCGCTGCCATGTCTCCAATTCTTAAGATGCACTAGATCATGCTTGGGACATCAAAAGCTTGTCGGAGCAATGGGTGAAAGAGAGGCCGCAAGTGCTCACCTGCATCTTTTCAAGGCGTGGCCCGCTGCTGGATGCCATGTTTTGAAGCAGATCCCTGTGGATGTCGCGTCGACGCTTCCTGCTTGCGGGTTGCTTGATTGACCCTTCCTTACGCGCTTTCGAGCGAGAGTAGACCGGGCTTGATGGCTCATATTGTTCCATGACCTGCAATTCAAGGTAAGGAGGAACAAATCAGCCCATCAGAGCGCGACAAATCAGCGCCAAAACAAGCAACAACTGAGCCCATACAAAAAGACGAATCAGTTGACAGCGAGCTCTAAAGAAGCTACAAGTGACCTCAGATAAGCCCCCCCACAGTAAGGAATGATTGGCAATGAATCAGCCCCCAACAGCGGGCTTCAAGTAAGCCCATTAGAGCACGACATCAACCCCACAGCAAGCCGCTATAAACAGCCCCACAACAAGCAACATGTGAGCCCCTAAGCGGTTTCGACAGCAGCCCCACAGCAGGCCCCAAGGCAGCCCGTTAAAGCTCGTCAAAACAGCCCCACAGCAAGTGTTGAAAAGGGTCACAAAACAGCCTCACATCAATGAACACATCAGACCAACAGCGATCCCAAAAGCAGCCCAACAGTGGTACCAAAAGCAGCCCCAAAAAACGAGCCCCCAAGTCAGCAAATCAAAGTGGAATAAATCAGTCCTGAAGCAAGTGCTAGATTAGCCCCACAGCAAGCAACACGTCAGATTGACAGCGGTCCCAAAAAGAGCCCCACAGCGAGCCCCAAGTCAAACCGTTAGAGCGCGACAAATGAGCCCCCAAGCAAGTAAGAACTGACCCCCACGGCGAGCAACATATTAAGCTGATGACAGCTTCATACAAGCTCCACAACAAGCTCAAAATCAGCCCCCACAACAAACAATGCATCAAATCAAAGAGCGGGCCTCAAGTCAGAACAACAGAGCGTACCCAATTAGCATCACCCGATCAGCTCTACAGTGGGTGTCAGTGAGCAATTGCAACCTCTCGGCGAATGAATGCAAGTGCTGATGGGATTGAACCGAGACTTTAAAGGAGCCTCAAGCTTTCAGTCAAGCAACATGCTGGGGAAATTGGTCGAATCAGTCGCATGAAGAATAGGAGGGCCCTTGAGAAACTCACCTACCACCTGCCACCTTCCACAGCGCCGCACTCTGCTTGCATGTGATTGAGCTTGATGATGCCGTGGTACTTGGCCGGGCTCCTCTCTTCCTTGAGAATTGCTTGCTTCTAAGCTTCTTACAAGGGGCTGCACCATATACCAACACCAAATCAGGCTGATAGGCAGCCCCAAAAACAGCCCCAGCTGCGGGCTCCAGATCAACTTTACAGCGGATCACAAATCAGTGCAAGAACAAGTGCGGGATCAGCCCAACAGTCAGCCCACCAATCAGTCCTAAAGCAACCCAAAAGTTAGCCTGACAGCCCGGTCCACGGTCAGCCTGAAAGCAGGCTCAAAACAACAGCCCTACAGCGGGCGCCACATCAGCCTAACAGCAAGCGCTGTATCAGCCTAATAGGAGAGGTACCATCAAGCACGCCAAAGGCTTACCAACATGCGCTGAAACACACCTTAAACTTTCCCAAATCCGAAGGCGCTTTCCAGACACACTCTGAATGGCAATTTCTCTGCCGCATGCATGTGTTTGATACCAGGTCAAAAAGCAGATGTTGGTGTCTGAAGCTGACATAGCCAGGAGAGGGCTACAACGCTCACCCGCTCTCCCAGGACGCTGCGCTTATCCTTCTTCGGGGAGCCTTACAAATGCCTCTAAAGTTCTAGTCCTAAGCTCCTCACCCCTTAGAGATGCTTCTGGAAGTTTCCAGCTGAGGTGGATCCCAGACACTTGGCAAGCATGCAGGGTGCTGGCTTTCCGCCAGACCATGCCACCTTGCCACCGCTTGCCACCGCTTGCCAACGCTAGTCCAGCATTCTGCAGTAGATAGCGGCCACAGTCTGCAGCAATCCCACTGCATCTTGCTAACGTTCCTGATGACACAACCAGCGTCGGAAGCGGCTGCGAATTGCAAACTTGTACAATCAATACCAGCTGCCGGATGCGCCATCTACAGTGGTGCAGCCATCTTCTCAGCTGATGCACATATTTCCAGCTGCCAGCGGCCCACGCACCCATCTTCAAGCTGCAGCACAATGATGCCATAACCATTCAACTGCAGCTAGTATGGCAAAGTTGTGGACTTCAAGAATCAAAATGCTCCTGACATGATTTGCTGCTGCTAGTGGAGCAAGTCAGAGTGGCCTCAATCACAAGCTTCCGGATCAGCACCTAAGGAAAAAGGTCCCCGAAAGACGACCCCACTGTGTGAATCTCGCCTTATCTCAGACATGCCAGGTTACGTTAGATTGCCTCGAGTCACCCAAAGAGCAGACATGCGAACTTGGTAGGACGAACAGCAGTTTCTCCATCCTGCTCCAGCTTATACACTACCATACCGGTAATATCGGGAATATTACCGGAATTTTATAGTTGGTAGCACGCTTTGACAGGAAAGACAGGACCGACGGCAGTTTGTCCTGTCCGGCTTTGAGCTTATAAATAACCATACCTGTAAAATGGTCGGAATTTTGTAATGTATAGCGCGCATCGTCGAGGAGAGACGGGACGGACAGCAGTTTCTCCTGTGTAGCTCCCGACTTATACTCTACCATACCGGGAAAATTATCAAAATATTGTAACTGATAGCACGCGTCGACAGGAGGACAGGATAGACGAGACGGACGGCAGCATTTGCTGTCCTGCCCGCGTCTTATCATGACCAGACCGGTCAATATGTGAGGGTGGCGATCCTTAGATACATACATATTAGCAAACTCGGCTGAGATTGGAAAAGTCTATATTATAATCT